CTTTACTGTAATAGTACTTCTCTAACTTATATAACTTTACTATAACTTATAAAAGTACTTATATTTAATATATTTTGTTTATAATAAATTTACAAACATAAATAATACTCAGAAGAATTTTCCCTGAGTGTAGAGAGGTTGGGGGAAAATGCTCAATTTTAGCAAACTTAAATATGTATTATACTTATATGTGTATTCTGTATCCTAGTTAGAATTCAATATGTAAATTAATAATGAAGTTATATTCTTCATTTAGACTAGTTTATAGTATTGTACAATCAGTTTGAGGGCCAGGAAAACTCATATACATGAAATATAGGGAAAACTGACATATTGTGTTGTATCTTACTCAAATTTTGCTCATTTTACTTTATTTTTTCTGGAATATGAATGACACTTTAAAAGTATAATTTTTACAACTTAGATCATGTAATTTGGTTAAGTATCAGTTGAGTTATGATAGATTTTGTATTTGAGTGTACTTAGTATGACAAAAATCACAAATTGCACATATGACAATGTTTATGAAAATGACAGTAAGGACTTATTATGCAAAAACAAAAAATTATTATTACAAATTACAAGAAGAGAGATAAATATACAATCTACTCCTAAAAAATAGAAAAAAATGCATATGTGACTATATATAGCAAAATGTGTCTCAACATTAGTATAATTTTTATAAGGAGTAGGAGGGTACTGTGTGGCTAGTACTCACTCAAAACAAGCCAGTATGGTACAAATCCATCAAAATTAATTCTCCTACATACTTACAATATATGTATAGAAGGAATTATACTGAAACAGCTTTCCAGAGTCCTTAAAAGACAATATAAAGCAGTTTAGTTAGTATAGAGCATTTGATACAACCCTCCTACTTCCCCACCCACATGTAGCCAACCATCCAGATCAAATTATACATGTACCAACTTCTCTGTTTGCTTGTATACATCCACTCACACACAAATATGATCTGTAAGCTTATAAGACAAAACTATTACAGGTCTACAGTAAGAACTTGAAGTGTATTATCTGTTGTCAGTAATGAAGAACAAGACACTAGGAGAACTTTAAGAGAAACTGTCTGTGCTCTAAGAGCTAGCTGTTGAGAAGGAAGTTGAACTTGAAGATGTAAAGGAAACACTCACAGGTTATACTCAGTAATAATGTAGCCTTCATACTAGCTACAAACAATACAAACAAAGGTGCCCTTAGAGCATATTGAGTCTTTATAAGAAAAAACCCTACTACAACCATTAAACACTTCAATTTAAGCCAAGCAGGTACTTACTGTATCTCCTACTAGGTTTATACAAGTAAGATACTGACATGAAATTTAATAGAAACAGTACTCATGAATTTATTAAGACATGGCTTAATAATAAGGAGAATTAGTAGTACTTGTGTATAGAGGCCTAGAAACAAGATACAGAGGGAAGAGAAAAAAAGCATTAGCTTGAAATACTTGAGGTGCATATTTATGAATATGTGTTCTCAAAACAGTAAGAAGAAGAGCAAGCCTAGAAACATGTAAAGCACAATGAGTAACTTGACACAGTCAAGATACAGCTGGATTAAGACATAGTAAACAGGATGAAAGTAACAGAACTCAAAGCACAACTAGACAAGCTTAGACAGACAGATACTTAGATACTTATAGACTCTAGGATAAGGACTAAGGCAGAAAATTTGAGGGAACTTCTAGCAGTATTAGACTGGATGGATACTAATCAATAAATTATACTGTAATTTACTTATTACACTTCATTTTACTAATTTTTTTGTCTTCTTAATGTAATTCTCAAGTAATAAAGTGAAAACCAATACTTAATTAATAAATCCAAGGCTTCAGCATTGTCTCTGAGTGGTTGTTAGTAATTAAGAGTAAGACACAACTATGTGTATACACTCAAATCCACTTTATTTCATTAGTTTTGCTTATATTTTTGTATATTTGTATATGATAAACCTCTATGTACTACTCAGAATGTAATAACTAATTTTACAGGTTGCCAGAAGACCTCAGCTGAGAGGTATGACTCAGTAACAATTTGCACACATGTATTGAGTCTCAAAACAAACATTCAACTCAAAATAAGTGCTACAGAAGTACTTAGTGATCTTGATTAGTATCAGACAATTGATCTGTAATTTAAAATCAAGAAGATTTCTTTAGATCTTCTTGATTTGAATTTTTTCTTCTCTTCTCAAAACTGTCAACATGTGTTTTGATTGTATTTACTACATTTGGTAGGTATCTAAGCTCTGCCTCAAAAAAAGCTGCCTGTACATTATATGAGAAATGCTGACCCCTAATAGTTCTTTGTTTAATAACTATAGTTACTACTCTTGCTCATGTGTAGTAGTTATTTTATTTGCTTTGTGACATTACTACTTTGTATGTAGTTCACTTTGTACATGTCTGTATGTCTTAAATGTTTGGATGTCTTAGTTCTGACATATTTATTAATTAAATATAATTATTATTCAATGTATACACTACATTTAATTGAAGTACATTGTCTGTAATATTATAGATTGTTTATGTATACTCTATAGCATTCATATGCTTGCTTTTAGTATTAATCATATTTGTATCATTGTTATAATATCAAACACTTGTCTGTAACATGAGATGTAATCATTATAACACATCTCTAATGTATAGAATAAAGTTGTTCAGTGTTTGAATGTATTATTTAATGATACTCAGTAGTATTAGAGTTACTACTCTGTTTGTTCACATTACTACACACTGTAGTATATTATTTAATTGTATCAAGTGTTGTGCTTCAATGTGTATGTGAGATACTTAGACAGTGTATTAAAGTACTTGTGTGTATGCATCCATTGTAGCATCCATTGTGCTAGAAGAATTGTTGTCTTTGTGTAAGGTGATTCACATTTAGAATACTCAGATAGGAGTTCTAATAGATTATGTGTGTGTAGAGTGAAGCATAGATATTGTATTGAGTAGATAGAGTATTAAAGCAGGGAGCACAAGGCTTATAACCTGTTAGTCTATGTAAAAGTAGTAATAGACTCAGGGTTACACTTTATAGATAGCTTAGAGGTAAGTTACACTAGTAGAGGTTCAGTAGACTCTACTGTTACTCAGATTAGCTTCACTGTCTGTGTATTAGCTAGTTTATATACTATGTAGTATGGATTGTCTCAGATGTATGTCTTAGTTAATGTCTCAGTGTAATAACACATAGTAATGAGACAGTTCTATACTGTATAACATATATATGTGTATAGTAAGACATTAGATGCATTTATTTGAAATAAATGTTAACACTTCTCCATCCCTAGATGAAGAGTAATTAACAACTTATTATTTGCCAGGTTATTGACATACCTTCAAAAGACAGACATATTACCTCCAGGCACATTTTTGAGCAATCTTGCTTACATTCTGTTAGGGAAAGGGACCTATTACTATCCTCTTTGCTTTCCTGTCAACAGAGGAAGTCCAGAAATGGTGATATAAGGCTCAGTATAACATCAGACACTCAGTGCTCATATTGTCAAAAATGTTTCCTACAAAACCTTGACAGGGAAGGGTTAACCAGGGTGTGGACTGGGGAGGAAAACAAGGTTCCAAAACAGTGATTTTCGAGTCAATTGTCAGTGCAATCCTGGACATTGTTCTCTAATAGTGTGAAATCTCTTGACTGGTTGGGTTCCTTGTCTCTACAGTTTGTTCCTGGCACTTCTACCAAGGTACAACTGTATAACCAATATACAACAGGCAATATGCTACAAACCAAATGATTTGTTAACTGTAACAAGTTCTTGCCACCCACTATGGCTGGAGGTCCTTCAACAAGAGCTACACCTGTCTTTAGTTTAAGAAGCTTAGCAAGCTGGTCTTGTCTTTGAGGTATGAAGTTTCGAATTTGAGGGAAGAATAACAGGAACAGGATAGTAGCTCTTCTCTTCAAAAAACCCAAAGTGGTGATCAGACACAGTGTTGCAATCCAGGGGAAAGAAGGGATCCCTTTCCCTTTCCCACCATCAATCCCTAGCAGATTGATCGGTTTGCTCCTGTCACAGAAGAATTTCTTTTGGAACTTTGGCTAAAGAGCTACATAATTGAAATTATAAAATGAGACCATAGTATCATGTCAAACACTTCCCATTGCTTACAAAATTTTCCCTCCCACTAGATTGTTCCTACTAGGAAGGGATCCTGTATGAGATTGCTGGGCATGCACAACACTGTTCGGACGTTGGCTGAAATATCTTGGTTAGAAAAAATGAACTGTAACACAACAAACAATAATGATCCAGACACATATGTAATGCTCATTATCCAAAGACGGCTATCACAGACAAAGCCGGATCAAATCATTTATAGGATATCTTGGATAAACTACCATACGAAGGGCTTTATTGCTACAAAAGGTAACATAACCCGATAAGACGCGAACGTGGTACACAAAATGACGCTGCAATAAAGTAGAGGCATAACAGAACAGCTGCATGGATGAAAGAACAGGTTCACAACAAGTTTAGAGGATTCCATCTGGTACAAACGGGAACACATTGAAATGAACAAAAATTTAAAAAAAACGAACCACAAACGAACCAAAAAATGTTTGAAGTACATCTAGTACAGAGCAAAATCCAAAGTAAAAGAAGAAAGAACACCACTTACAAAACCGCAAATGAAGATAATTAAAATAAATTAATTCATGTCCTCGAACCTGTATCAAAGTTCAACGCGATAGAAAGAGGTAATCTTCGAACGCGTGTCCTCAGTCATCACCAACTCATAGCCGCCATCCTTACTGGTCACCAAAACATAGATAAGATGTTGGAAACCGAGTCCTTTGAGGTAATCGAGGAATTTGGGATTGACATCGTGTGACTTGCCTACAGTGACCTGGAAAAGGATTGCGCGATTTTGCGGGTTATCGATTAAGAACAAGTCACAGGTTGGGAAATTCAAGGCCTTTGGGATGTAGATTCCGTTTGCCAATCCGTTCGGAACTTCATGTCGCGAATCAACCGGATAGCTCGAAAGCAATTCATCCCTCGATGGTAGAAAGGCCATCAGGTATTCGGGCTGTGGTTGGTATTTCTCGTCTTCGCGAGCAGGGAAATTATCGAGAGAGAATATAGTGCCCTGTCGGCCGATGCTCATGTAAGTTGTCATTGCGATCGGATCCCACTTGACTCTCCCAATTTTGCCGGGCGGCGGTGGAGCTGTGCGTTCGTCGTCTATGGGTTCCCGAGCCTTCCTCTTCCGACTGAGTTGGGGGAGTAGGGGACGGGGGCCCAAGCCGTTTGATGATTGGTCCCCAATACCCTTCAACCCTTTATCCTTCGGCACTTTCAACCTCTTCATAGTCATCAAAGTAGCACGCCACTGACCGCCCCGCGGAAATGTTTCGATGACTCCCTTTTCAAGAATTTTGCCAGCCATGGTGCGAGAGCCACTGTGTGATAAAAAGACGCGATAAAGACTGAGACTCGCCTGCTGGTCATGTATCGTAAGATGCTCGATTAAGTCGTTTAGGATAGTGTCGGTAGGTATCGAGAAACCGTACTTCGTTCGGTCGAAATCGTCGGGTTCAATGATAAGAATCTGATGGGAAATACCATCTTTGAGGTATCCTACGCCCGATTCCGCAAGTGCCGTCGCAACCCCTTCCCTCGAACACTCTGCCATCCTTTCTGCCATTAAGGCTGCGTATGCGCTAGTATCGTGCGCATGGCCATACGCGTATCGAGCGGCTGGCATGTAAGTTCTCCAAAACGATTTCAGGTGCACCTCACTTTGTGGCAAGCATGCCTGGAGACACCGTCTATTGTGCACGCACGACAGTAAGACCTTACAGAGAATGAAAAAAAAAAAAAAGATAACTCACGCCGCGACAGCCTCTGGTAATCTCCAGTTCTTCATGTACAACCGTGTATGAACATTTACTTTTTTCGACCATTGCAACCGTTCCTCTCGAGGTGATGCCGCCTGAAGTACGAATCGTCCGGTCCCACTGCACATCTGAGCGTATTTCGTCTCCGCATCATGTAAATTCGTGTTACTATCACACAGGAACCACGTTCCTGGCGGGAGGTAATTGGAAGTAGAGTCGTCGATCCCAAACCCATTGAGAAGTTGGGCCGCGAACGTGCCCTCCTCACTGAAGACGAGAAATCCATCCTGGTTCCAGTCAACAACAGTGGTCAGACCAGCCGAAAGTCGAAGTGCGAGCACGTATAGCAAGAAGAACGATTTTCCTAATAATTTCGTTAGCATATATGAGGGGACGGAAAAGAAAGACATACCGATCCCTGGTGTTCCCATGACGGTTGCACCTGCCACGCGGCAACCCGGATTCGCTCGAATTGCGATGCCTTCGAAGGGATTTTCTGGTAAAGTCGGTTTAGGTTCACTATACATGCTCTTAGGATCTGCAGGAACCCGGTAACCAGCAAAGCCGCCACCGTGACGGTTGATGAACTTCATGATTTCGTACAACATTTTCGGATACTCGTCCCGTATGAAGCATGCTCGCGCCCCAAAGATCTCTGACAAGAACATTGGGATATCGCCATCGATATCCCAAGTTATGGCCAGAATTTCGTCGGGTGTGACAATATCCGGTTCTGGTGGGTCATCGCGTATGACCTTGAAACTCTTCAATACATTGTTAAGTGGTTGTCCCCAGATTTGGTCGCGAAAGGCAGCCAGAGAACAATATTCGGAGACATTAGATAGTGTAACCTTTCGCGCATTCGGATAATCTAGCATGGACTTGAGTTTTGGAGGCATCGTTTCGTGGGAAATTACTCGTTTGGGTAGAAGGTAGTCGTAAGAATGAAGGGCGGAAGGTTGCTCAGATGAGGATCAGTAGGCTTATATCACATCGGGCATTTCACAATTTCTTGCTGTGAAAAATAACTTACATAATGTTAAACATTATTTGTAATTAAATTTACCATTTTTGATTGATAGAAATCATGAACAAAATTTCAAGTTTCTTCCATAATCAATACAAATACAGAAAAAACTTAAAATATTATTTTGAATTTCTACTAAACTGAAATGGTAAATTAAATTACAAATAATGTTT